TCCCCTCATCATTCTGGACATAGTCTGGGCTCAGCCAGCTCAGGGATCATAGCCAGCTCAGTGTAGGGAGGATACAAAGCAGAAAAGGGGGGATGCTGGGAGGGTCCTGGGTGAGGCCACATGGCCCTCAGCTGGGTCCCCTGGGTTTGGCACCCAGGCAACAGAGTGAAATGATGTGGAGGGTAGGCTCTGGAGTCAAACAGACCTGAATTCAAATCCTGACTGTCATTTACCGGCTGCATCGTCTTGGATAAGCTACTTAACCTCTCTTTGCCTCAGTTTCCTTATCTTTAAAATAAGTACCACAGCAGCTACCTCACAGGGTTGTTGGGAGGACTAAATGGCATGTAATAAGCTCTCAGTACTGTGAGTTGCCAGTGCTGGTGGCAGGGCAGGGGACAGCAGAAAAGGACTGAATCCTCTATGTATGGAGACTGACTAGCACGTGGTCCCTTCCTTGCTCTGGCAGGGGAGGGTCCTACTAAACCTACAGCAACATTTCCCAACCTCAGTCTAAAACAGTGGCCTGAAAGTAGGAAAGGATAGTGGAAATCAGAATTGTTCCCGAAAACCCAGGACATGTGGCACAATACTCCAGCCCTCTTCTTGGAGCCCTGACAAGGGGTAGAATCGTTGTCCATTAAGGTGAAGGCCAAGAGCCTCCTCTGTCATTTAGGAAAGGTCTTCCCTGGAACCAGCTCCTACCATGGGCAGATAGACCCATTTTGTTTGAACCCTGCTCTTTGTGACCAGGGCCTTGGTGAGGGGAATCCAATGTAGGGGCTATCTCTGGGCCCCATTCTCAAGCAACCTCTGCCAGCTGCCTTAGATGGCAGATCTGCATCTCCAAGTCTAAGTTTCATTCTTAAACTGGGAACACAGTTTGCTCTGTCCCTTGGGTCAAGGTACCATAGGCTGGCAGGAGGCTGTTGGTGAGTGTGGCAAGGGCCTCCTGTGGACCAGAGTTGATGCTGTTGGAAGCTAACAAGCAGTAGGGCAGGTGAAGAAGGGGCGTGAGTCTACCCAGGGGTCTGCTGTGGGTCTCCTCACATCCTCTGACAGCTAGGGATGTAGGGGATTTGCCTGACAAGGGACTGGGTGTCCTGGGGTGCCAAGCCAATCAAGTGGCTGGTCTGGAGACCTTCTGCCAAGGGTCTGGCTTTGAATGCCACCCAGAAAAGCCTCATTCATTTGTTCGTTCATCATTTATTGAGTATCAGCCCTACGCCCTGCTCCACGCCCAGCACTGGTGCTACAGAGAGGCACCGGTCATGGTTCCTGACCGCAGGGAGCTCCTAGTCAAGCTCCTTGGCACAAGGGGGTGGATGCTAATCACTCACACACTTTCCTTCCTGCTCTCTTGGAAGCCTAGATCAACACTTGTTTCTGCCTCCTCCTCCATTTTAGCCCAGCTCTGCCAGAGAGCCCTCTAGTGTCTGGGCCTAGAGGGCTCTCGTAGCCCAGCTCCAGCCCCTCTCCCTTGTGCCACCTCTGAGACTGTCCTTGGGAAGCCCCACCCTGAGCCCTCCCGCTCCTTCATCCTGAGGAGGTCCCTACAAGTGGTTGGCATTGGCAACAGCTTCATTTTCTCTCTTTTCTTTAAAAAATGTTTTAAAAATTGATCTCTCTTCAATTCTCTTCCTCTATGTTCTCTTTTCTTTTCTGCTCTTCCTCTACTCTCATCTCCTTTCCCTCCTCCACCCCCACCCTCCTACCCCACCCCGACCCACGCCCTGGCCTGCTCTCCTTATCTGGATACCCAGGCTTCCAGGAAGGCAGAGCCAGTGGTTTTGTTCCTGCGGCAAGTGCCCTCAGCCCAGCCTGTGATTCCCGAGGCATTTGGCGTGGGATGCTTCTTCCCTTTCTTCCACCCTCTCTCCTTCTGCCCTGCCTCTGCCTCTGGCCTTGCTCCTTCCCTGAGCTTCTCCTCCCTGGACCTCTGAGTGCAGGCTTCTCCCAGCCTCCTTCCCTCACCCCCTTGCCGCCCTTCCTCTTGCCTTCACGCCGCCTTTCCTTCTCTAGCTGAGGGAAGGGCGCCACCCCAGTCTCTGGAGAGAGCCTGTGAGAGCCTCTGGGCCCTTTGGCTGATGTGGGGGCACTGCCTCCCTGTCCCCTCCAGTAATGAATGCCACTGCCCTCTCCCTGCCCCTGTGGCTCTCCACCCTGTCCCCCAGAACTTTCTTTGTCATGACTGCTGCCTTTCCCACCTCCGCATCACCTTGCTTCTACTTTGGGGGGTTTCCTCATGCCTCCTGCAGCCTCTCCTGCTCCTGCTTTCATCACCCCGTTGGCTTTTCTGCTCCTCTGGCACCTTCTAGCTCTTCTTCGCCCCGCCCCCCTTCCTTCTCCTCTTCTTTCCTTTCCCCGCCTTCCCTGGCCACCTCTTCCAGTAGCTGCAGGCTTCCTTTTGCCTTTCCTTCCTCCCTCCCCCTTTCCATCGAGGCCTCTGTAACCTGCCTTATCATGGGGGCCTGAGTATACAAAAAATAAATAAATAAATAAAAAGGTCAGTGAGTGGAGGGAGCAGCAATAACCCCTAAAACAGTACTATCAGTGGAACATGATTGATCAATTGAATTCCATAGCGGCTGAAAAATGTGGGATTAAGTAGTGTATTATACGCACAATGAGTTGAGGCATGATGTTCATTTCAAGTTCATTTCGCCGGCCTCTGCCACCAGATCAGGCAATCAATAGGGGCAGCAGATATCATATATCACCTCTCTGCGGGCTGGGGAGAGAGCACCATAATCTCTCGCAAATTTAGAGTGACAGATTTGTCAAGATCTGAAGGGCCCCTGAATAAATGAAGGAAAAGAGACTCCTCCAGCCAGTGACCTGAGGACAAAGCTTCAGTTCAGCCCCTATGTACACACACACACACACACACACACATGGGCTGAACCAAGCCATACACAGACATATACACAAATCGACACAGAAGTATAGTAGGAGTCTCACCACACATATGCACACACCCATGCACATAATGTGTGAGCACAGGCTCACAGACAAATGCTCTTTTTTCCCCAGGACCCACTGGTGACACTGTAGTAACCACACACAAAGACGCTTGCTGTCTCCCTCAGCCCCGACAGCAGAGCTTCCCCAAAAGGTAGGAGGACTCCAGTGGGAAAGAATTAGACACAATGAAACATACCAACAGCTCCAAGGGGTGGAATAAGGAGGATGGCACATCCTTGAAAAAGAAGCAGACACAGGAGAAACCTGGGGGATGGGGGCTCAGGCTCCCCATGCAGTCACACACGGACACACACATCTTTTCGAAAAGGTTCTTGCTCTGTCACTTACCCATACCTGGACACTTATTCATCTGGATGTTTATACGTGTACAAATGCATTACACAGAAAATACACAAAAGGGAAAAATAAATGTGTCACACCCTAACTCATAGAGAGAGATGCATACACTCCTACGACAGAAAATCATTTTAGAGGCTTACACAGACAAAAACATGACAACCAAGTTTTGTGGCCAGAGGAACTTAGGGAACATGGAAATATCATCAAGGCTGTCCCTGTGTCTGTCCACCTCAGACGTGCTCCTGGTCTTCATTTCTCTCTTTCTTTTTCTCTCTCTCTCTCACACACACATGCACACAACACACAAACACACACACACTGTCTTTGCCTTCCCACCCCTTCCAGGATGGAGTGAAGACAGGAAGTCCCATTAGGAAAGCAGACCCCCTTGCTCCATCTGGGAGGCCAGCAAGAGAGGATGGCTACAGGTTGAGGTTAATCAATATGTAATATTTTCTATGGTCTCCTGAATGATACTGTATGGTGTTACTGTATATAATGCAATATTGATTATATCATATCATATAATCACCTATAAACTGATATATATAACAGTACTAGAGGAACACCCTGGGGCCTACAGCATGGCTGGCCCCAGGTCCAAGGCTCCCTGGCTGGTTTTGGGCTGATGGAAGCCAAGAAGTGGCCAATCCGTGGCTGGGAGGACCCAGCCTTGGGCCAGGGGAGTTGCGAGGTCGGGGTTCAGGGAGCGGAGGCAAAGGAGGTACTTGGCCTGCTGTGCGCTCTGAAAACCCCAACGGACAGGATATGGAAGGCAGGGCCAGGGAGGCAGGGATAGCAGAGTGGTGAGGAAGCCTGAGGAGAGTAGTCTGCAGATGGGACTGGCCTGCAGCCCCAGGGAGCCAGCACTTTGTGGCACCGTCGTGGCTTTTCCCACACGGGGGCGAGTCTTAGCTCCCAGTAGAGACCCACAAGAGGAACTGGGTGTCTGGTGGAAGCCTAGCCGGGGTCCAGGTCAGGGGCAGAGGCTGAGAAGGGTGGCCCTGGCACAGCAGTGGTCTTCAGTCTCTGCCCAAGTTGGTGTTTTACGCTCATGTGCCACCAGCTGTCCTCTTGCTGCAATCTCAGGCCTGGCCCAACGTGAGCAGAATGCCTCTGCTTAGCCCTCAGAGGCCCTCCTCCCTCAGTGGTGAAGTTAATTACTTCACCAAGTCTCCATGTAACACTCAGCCTCGGAGATTTGATGATTTTCCACCCTTGGAGTCAGTGGAACTGAAATTCATCTCAGAGCCCAGTTCAATTCTCCACAGGCTTGGTAATGCCAGCCCAAGACACCCAGCTCCTCCCTCAGGATGACCCAGGCTGGGGAGAGAAGGGGTTCAGGAGAGACATGCCCTGGGGAGACAGCCTCTAGGAGCCCCTCTGGCTCCACCTCTGCCTAGTCCTTCCCACCCGACCCTATCCCCCTACCCTCTGAGCTGTGACAACTTCTTCTCTTCCCAGGTCATTCAGAGGCTCTGGCTCCCTCAGCCAGGTCTCTGAGGCATGGCCAGCCCCTGGGCCAGCCCTTCCAGTCTCAAAGCTGGGAGTAAGGGGTCCAAGCAGGGATGCAAAGCCCTGGGTGCCGAGCCAGGTGCCCACCCCCTTTGCCCACTGCACTGCTCTTTGCCTCTGCTGGCCTGTGCTCATGTCCCGAGTGTCCATGTGTCCTCCAGATGTGTCCGAGGGCTCAGTCCCCAATGGAGACTCCCAGAGTGGCGTGGATAGTTTGCGGAAGCACTTGCGAGCTGACACCTTCACCCAGCAGCAGCTGGAAGCTTTGGACCGGGTCTTTGAGCGTCCTTCCTACCCTGACGTCTTCCAGGCATCAGAGCACATCAAATCAGAACAGGTGAGGAAGGAGCTTTCTGCTTGCACAGATGGAAAGGGACTGGGCAGACCAAGGCCTCTGGGGGATGTGCATACAGGTCGGCCATGTGCACACCCAGCATTACATGTGCAATATAGGTGTACTGTGTGTACACTGTGTGAACATGCTCACATGAGGCCATCACAGCAGAGCTAAGAAAAATCATCATGGTATGTGGTAGTTAGAAATCATAAGGTCTGGGTATGATTGTGGCCTTAGGTAAATCTTATCCCCTTTCAGTTTAAGTCCTATCTTCAGTTTTCCTGTCTATAGAATGAAAGGCTTGGATGTATGATCTGACAGGTCCCTTCCAGCCCTGCCATTCCGAGCTTCTGGTATAGAATATTCAGGAATGTCACTTGCCTAAATGTCTCCAGGACCCTATAGAAAGTCCATGTAAGCCTGGGTTTCTCCTCTTGCCCGTTGGTGGGAGGTGAGCCCACTGTGCCTGCCTCCTGCTCCCTAATCCAGCTGTCCAGTGTGACCCTAGGTAGGTTTACAGCCTACGCCTCAGAGTCCATACTTCCCACGGACACAGCATGGGACGCAGCCCAGGACACACCGGCACAATACATAGTGTAAAAACACCTCTCCTAACTCCCCACATCTACCCATGTGCATGTGTTCACACACCACCACCACCCACCATCCATCCCCCCTCAACCCACAGGACTCACAGCACAGCCCTGTCAGCCAGTAGGTGTGTGGTTCCCCCAGACTATCAGCTCCACACACCTCCATGCCCGAGTCCACCCACACATCAGGATCGCCCCTAGTGCACACGCCGCAACACGGGAGCACACTCCCCTTCCCCCCACACTCCGGCTCAGGCCAGGCCCACAACTGCAGCGCAGCACAGCCTACAGTGCTTACACGCACACACACGCGCGCGTGCGCGCACCAGCACAGCCCCACAGGCTCCGTGCAGCAGAGTTCCACTCTAGGACTCCAGCAGTTCCCAGCCATTCGCCTTTCTCCCCGCCCGTCCTTTTATCTCATAAGCTGTTTGTCTTCATAAAACAAAAATCAAAAGTCTTTTTAAGGTGCCCTGAGCCATAAACCAACAAAGGAGGAGCCGGCCGAGGCGGGCAGCTCTGTGCACCCTCCCTGAGTCCCCGGCTGTATTACAATGAATAACCTTTATTTACTTTCATTAGACTATTAAACACCAGCACAGTCATTTTTCCCCCTGAAACTCGGAGCAGGGCCCATAAAGCAAATCCGAAGCCTAATTGAGTTCATTTTAATTTCTCTCCGATCACAGCGAATTACTCTGGTGATAAATCAGGGGGCAGCTTCACCCCCAGTAGAAGGCCTAATTTGCAGCTAATTACAAAACTGATTTCTACAGGAAGATCAATACGAGAAGGAATTGGAAATGACGAGGCAATCCTGTCCAGCCAGGGAGGGGAGGGGGCCCTCTGGGGGGGCCAGGAAGCGGAAGGGAAAAAACAGACCCGAAAGAGCAGAAAATCAGTTTTAATTTAACGTAATATTAATCAGAGCAACTTTTCCTGCTTTGTGCGGGCTCCTGGTCGGCCCAGCTCTGAGGTCTGGCTTGGCGGTGGCTGCAATAAAAAGGCAATTACCCGAGTGTTTCGGGCAGGACACCCTTTCAGAGTCAATGACTGGCCCCCTCCCACCCTTCTGTTAGCCATGTGGACTCTCCCCCTCCCCAATTTCATACCCCACTGCACAGGCAGAGAGCGAGGGGCCTGTGGGGCTGTCTTTGTTTGTTTTCTAAAAAGGGGCGCCAGCACCCGATCAGCCAGCCCAGCAGTGCCAGGCTGGAGGCCCCCCTAGGCCCTTCCCCCAACTACTGCCTCTGCCATCGAGTCAGGGTTCACCCCTCCTCCCCAAGACTCGCCACTCCAGGGGGACCTTAAAACACCCCTTGCCTCTCAGCAGGGGGATCCCCACTGCTACACTCCACCCTTGGGGCTTCTGAGGCAGGAGATGCTACAGAAACGTAAAGGGTGCTGGGATAACCACCGAGAATGTACAAGCTGCACCTCAGCTTCCCAAAGTCAGGTCTGCCCCCACCCACACTCAACTCCCCATCATTCATCAAACTCACCCTCCCACCCTCCCCGCCCTCTGCCTGGCCATCTCCTTCCACCCCATCTGGGAGGGCTCCCCGTTCCTCCTCCCCATCTGCACACTGAGCCCTCTCTCCGCCTGTGTGCATCAATAGCGAGCCGTCTCTTTTCTTTCTCCTCCCAGGGGAACGAGTACTCCCTCCCAGCCCTGACCCCTGGGCTTGATGAAGTCAAGTCGAGTCTATCTGCATCCACCAACCCTGAGCTGGGCAGCAACGTGTCAGGCACACAGACATATCCTGTTGTGACCGGTAAGGGGGCTTCCAGGAGGGTGGGGAAGCTGCTTTCAGTGGCAGCGCCTCAGCCCATGCCATCTGGGGCCCAGGGTGACAAGTGGGCTCCCTGCCATGATCTCTGCGGAGAGGGAGCCTCCAAAAACCAGGGTGCTTTCTGAACAGATGTGCTCAGAAGTGGGAGAAAAAATCATGGTCAGGGTCTCTGTGGGCTTCAGCCTGGAAAGATCCAAGCCAGAAGAGGGGATCGCTGGTTCTTTCTGTCCATCCTCTTGCCTTTCTTTGCCCTTTTTCTTGCCTCCACCAAGGTGGCCAGAATTATGAGCCTCTTGTTAGAATGTGCAGAGAAGACTGCAGGGGGCAAACAGTGGAGCATGAGTGCCCAGTATCGAGCCTCCACACTCTGTATCCCCCAGGCTCCTGGGGGACCAGCTTTCCTCTCCTCCGGCAGCCTGAGTGTGTCAAAGCTGTGGCTCTGGGCATCAGGGCATGGCATCCGGCTCTGTGGTTATAGATAAGCTCAATTATTTCAGCTCTTCTCCAGCTTCCCAGAGAAATCACTGAGACTGAGGCTTGATTTCAAGGCCAGACAGGGTCCTGCCTGTCCCACAGTCAAATGCAGGAGGAGGAGGCACCTAATCCAAAGGCCCTCATGAATGAGGAGCAGCAGAGGCAGCTAGAGGGGAAGCAGACCGAGGTGCAGCGCAGTGACAGCTCGGCCAACCAAGCTCCAGGCCGCAGAGCTGCGGACTAGGGAAGGCGCCTGGCACTGCAGAAGGGTTTCCGGGCCAGGAAGATGCCTGAGTGGGAGAGACACGCGTTGAGGTGTTACTAAAATTCACCTAATTATTCTGGAGACATAAAGCCAATGTGCCGTTGGTTCCTTGGGAGACAGAATGATTGAGAAGGGTCTTGGTGGGGATTGGGAGACACTGAGGCGTTACCTGCGGAGCATGGGGAGCCTGGGAACCAGACAGCCAGGGTCACGGCCAGTGGCAAAGACAGGGAGCGTGCATGACCCCACTGGAGGACAGGGCCCTGCTTCTTTCTGATCTGGAGCTGTTCTGAGAATGGCTCAGGCCTGAGACGGGCTGTGAGTGGCCACCCAGCCTCTGCCTGGAGGGCTTGGGAGAGCCTCGTTGTTAGCTTTCCCAGTTTCTCCCTAAGGAGTGTCTGGTACAACTGTTTCTGGACTAGACAGGGTTGAGCTCTTTAGCTAGACAATCAGAGTCTGCGTTCTGGAAGCGTTGGAGGACTGGGCATGCTTTTGGGAGTGACAGCCTAGCTGGATCAGGACATAGCCGATCATCAACTGGCCCTCAGCAGGAGCTCTCTTGCGCCCAGCTTGGAAACTCTCCGAGCTATGGGTATTCTGCTTCAAGGAAGAGCGATGGCCTAGGCAGGCCACATTTTCTCATGATCTGCTGAGAGTTACAGTGGTCACTTCCCAAAGGTGGCCACCCCAAGCAGCTGGCAAAACAGCCCAGGAGACTTTTCTCTAACCCCAGCTGGGCTTCCCTGGGCCCAAGGCCACAGTTCAGAAGGCAGGGGCTTTCTGGGGTGGAGAGATGGATCTTTGGGGCAGGGTTCCTGCTGCAGGAGAACTTGGGCTGTGCAGAAAAGTGCCTCCACCTTGAGCATCCCCCGCCCGCCTCCCCCCCATGGCCCTGGAACGGTCCCAGCTCAGCCTGGGAACATCTCCGGCTGATCCATCTGGATCCAAGTGTGAGAAAAGTTCATTTCAGACCCAGCTTGACATTCCCAGGTGGCAAGTTAGCACTAACATCTCAATCTGTATGCGACATTTCAATCAAGCGAGGAGTAACAAAAGCAGAACCATTAACATTCGGAGCTGTTCACCAGTGGTAATGACGGGGAAACTCGCTCAGAAACTGGAAATTACCAAAAAGAGTGAAGTGTGTGGAGAGGTGGGGGAGGGGAGGAGGAAAGGGTAGGGGGCAGGGAATGATTTTTCTACACTTAGGCCAAGATCCAATGTTCGGATTAATGATGCCATTATCTGAGAAAGGGCTACAGATTCTGCTCATTCTTAAAATGTTTTTGCTGGCAATTAAACGGCTGCAGGTATTGATCTTTGTTGATTTTATGTCCCCCTAATTTGCATAATCTATTAAAGATGAATGATTCATGATGTGTTTATTATGGGGATGAACAGAATTTGCTGGCCGTACTGTCAAGGTGAGAAACGGGGCAGTGCCTGGAGAGTTTGGCAGTGCCGTCTCAGGAGCCGGTCCAGCAAGTTGGCCTGCGGGCCAGGAGTTTGTGGGTAGCGGTAAGCAGTGCTGTAAGGGGAGCAGATGCCAGAGAGGTGGACTTGGGTGAGTTCATCTAGAAAGATGTTGGCATCTGTGAGAACCAGGCTCCAAGCACAGCTGGGATATGGGAGTGGCTTCTGGTGCATTGATAAAAATTCCCCTCAAAGATTCTTTAAAAGCTTATTTGGTTGGAGAATACGAAGGGCTTTGGTGGAGAAGGAAACGGGGAAGCCCTTTCCAGTAGGTGATCCTGGCCAGGTGTGGGCTAAAGGTGAGAGAGCAGGGAGGGCAGCCTGTCCTCGCAGCCTGGCCTGTGTGTGCCAAAGAGTTCAAGGAGCTGTCTTCATCTCCCTCGTCTTTAACATCCAGCTCATCTCCTTCCCTGGGGACATGCAGCTAAGGCTGCAAACCTTTGAGACTGAATCCCAAGGAAACGGGCCCAGGAAGCTCTAGCCCAACCTGAGGAGCCAACCTTATTGATATTCCTGCCACCTCCTGGCACTGGAGGCTGATTTCAAACCTCACCAGCCACTTGATGCAGCTGTTCCACAAGGTCAGGACTGAGAGGAGAGAGGAGCCAGGACTATTGTGTGGAGGGGAGAGTGGGGCCCAGTGGGCCAGGACACAGCTAATCACATTGCAAGCAAGGGTGGCTGCCAGAGGCTGGGGCTCGTCCTGCAAGCCTCCCCTCCCCACCTTCCATCAGGAAACCAGGGAGAGAGACTGATTTTTCTGGGTAGTGTTTGCAAGTTCTGCCGAGATTTTAATTTCACTGCATCACAACTCAGCAAGCTGCCAAGTCAAGCTGGTTATTTAAATTTATCACCCACTTTCCCCTCCGCCGCTGGGCTGCTCTAGCTCAGCGGCATCTCTTCTCTCCAGCCCACTGCTCTAGGCTGCTGGTCTGGAACAGAGCCGAGTCTCTCCTAAGTGATAAGGAAAAAGGGACCAACTAGATGAGAGAGTGGGGGCTTCCTCAGGTTGGCTGGCTGTGGCTGCCACCTTCTTACTCTTCCAGAGGACCCCACAGCCAGCTGCCATCAACCCCTCAGTAGTCCCAGGGGCCTCTGGGTCAGGGCCTCTTCTGTGAGGACTCTGGCTCCAACTGTGTGCTGGTGCCTTCAAGTCCCCAACACTGCTAGAAAAGAGCCCCCCTTCCCCATGACCTCCTCACCTCGACCCCTCCTGTCTGGTGCCTGGCCAGGTCTGCAGCCACGGGGGAGCTTGAGAGGACCTTGGCTGTGATGTCCTTAAGTTGATGTGGAAGGAGAAGATAAATAGTAGCTTCAGATTCCCAAAGTCACTTGGAGATGCTTCTGAGCATTTAGAGAGTCCCTGGAGCTGGTGAGAGTCTGCCCTGAAGCTGAGAGCAGGTTCCCTACCCTGGAGCCCAAATGGAGCAAGATGGTGCTGGAGGTTGTACAGCAGTTCTCCATTCTCACTCTAGAAGCCGAGGGATGCGCCGGGCCCCAGAGCTGCTGCACCAGTGGGCTTCACGGGCCTCTAGTGGGCCTCACTGCAGAGCACTGGGAGAACTTTGTGCAAGCGTAGTCCTCACCACCCTCATTTTAGTCCAGGATGGGTAATGGAGGAATGAGATTGATGTCCAGGAACAGGGCAGGCTAAACTCACCAGAACACAGCTGGATAAATATAAAAACAAGAATTGTTAATTCATAACCAAACCTCACTCTCTGGTGTCAGCAATAGAGGGAGACTCAAAGCCCTGTATGAGAGCCTCCTGGTATCACACTGGAGGTAGACCCTGACTGCAGGGAGGCTAGGGTTGTAACACATCAGACAGAAGACATGACCTTGGGCCCAAGAGAAGCAGGAAGCTAGAACTGAGTGTTCCCCTGCATAAAGCTAGGAACCAAGCAGGACAGCACTATCCATGAAAGGGAAACACACAAACTCATCCCAGTGGCCCAGGGAAGCAAGTGAGAGAAAATAACGTCTCCATGAGAAATGGAGACCCCAAGCCTGACCTTGGTTCAGAGTCCAAATTTATGCCATGAAGATGTGACAGGAACCCCCAGCCAAGAACTTACATAAAAATTTGTCCAGGATAGTAACCTGCTCAGAAATCCCAGCAGGAACAGGAGTAAACTTTCCTTGCAGAGACATTCTACATTCCAGGGCACATGGGACTCCCACAGAAAAAAATCCACCACAAAAGATGACCTTGCTATAAAAAATTACACACTCATATGAACACAAACTATCATGAGGGAGAGTTTGCCGAAGTAATAAATAGGACAATTACGACCCCAAGAACTAGGGATGATAGAACAATCCAAAAGCAACTATAAAGTAAGTATGTTTAATTTCTAAGAAAGATAAAAGAGAAGTATGATTTGTGTTCATCACAGATCTTGATCCCACATCCCCTTCCCCACCATCGCTCAGCGAATTGTCAGATAATAGAGATCTTAAAGGGCAAAAAATACACCTCTAGTGTATTGCTTGGGGGCTCAGGAGGCATGGAAAGAGATGAGTCACAGGCAGCCCTGAAAGTAGAGCCTGTCCCCGGCTGATCCAAGCTCCCAGACTGCTAAGTCTCAGCAGAGAATATTCCCTTTTCTTTGGAAACATGGCCGAACATTGGAGAACCATAACAGGGACAGTCCATTCCTCCCTCGTAGGAAAAAAAAAAAAGCCTTGTTAGCTTCCCCACCCTGGGTGGGGAGAAAGTAGTTTGTTTCAAGAGCTTGGGAGAAACTTCTCTTGATGCCCAGAGACT